CCTAATTTCACTTTGATGATGTAGCTAATATTGTCTACATTGTCTAATATTGTGCCGTTTTTTTGCTTCATCCAGTTCCTCGTGACGAATAATATTTTCAAAATGTTTTATCCACTTTATAATTGCTTTGTTTTCATTTAAAGCGCATTAGCAAACATGCTAAGTCTATACCAATAATTATTTTTTTCTAGAGTTATGACAAATGATACTTTTGAATATTGTATGTATTATATGGCCAAGATAATTGTAAACGAGCTGAAGATCGAATAATATAACTAAGAGGGAGTTTGTGATGCATATATATGTTTGTTGATGTGTTACTGAATACAATTAATGATGTTTATATGTTAAATCAATGTGGCGAATACTCAGAAAAACCCAATTCAAATGTTATAACTTAAGTTCAATCACGAGTGAAAATGTTCGAGGCTTTTTGTTATAAGAACATTTCAGTAACATCAACATATAATGTAATAATCATTCAACATGCATTATGACATTAAGTATATGTGGGAGATTCATTCATACAACCACAACTTCGATTATGTCAGGTCATTTAAAGGATTTTGGTCTTTCAATCATTATTAAATTATCGAAGCTGCGAATTTGAGAGATGCTGAATTGTTCAAGTTACAGACCAAGTTACGAAGTTCAAGTTACGAAAACATGACCACGCCAATATTTCAGAAACCACGCCTACTTTTGCAAAACAACGCCCAAATCGTTTATCGAACAATTCACCATCTCGAATTGTGAATGTATGCCCCACGTTTTGATCGTGAGGTGGGGGAAATTTAAAGCCTACCTACACGCACATATTTGTCTTTTGATTAGTGTGTATCCATAGAGGTTAAAATAAAAAACATGTTTTATTTTTAATATTTACTTACTGTATCGAAGCCCAGAAAATGGGGGCAGTTAGATAAAATGGGAGCAATCAAATCCACTTTAGATGAGCAAAATACTAGCTGTTACGTTATCGTGGGTGACTACAATTACCTTGGTAATATGAATAATTCACTGTTTGCTAAACATATGGTACGTTTTGTGTGTGTATGTGATGAATACGTGTTGTTAATTGTGTTTGCTGCTATTGCAATCGGGTTCTTATACTTAGTACGCGAACGAGTCATGGGATAGTAAATCATGGCTGGATCAGGCAGTTACCAGTTATGATTGTCTTGATATTATTGATAACAATATATTTGCTATTTCTGATGTTGAACACCACACCATTTGTCAGAACAATAATATTTCCCGTAAACCACACTGAGAGAATTTGCCTGAAATTATGAATTACTGTGAAAGTAAAAGTGAAAATCTCTAAATCGCTAAGCTGCAAAGTTATTCATTGTAACACCGGTGATAACATAGAGTGTGTTGAAATGTTTTATGATGATATTTGTATGTCTTAATGGTGCCGTTGTGTTGCTGTTATGTTTTCACAGACGAGGTCATGGAAATATAGTTCCAAACCTGGCTGGTTCGGGTATGTAGTTGATTTGTACAACGTATCAAGGGTCTTGTGGGAGAAATTATATGCTGCAGAGAAAACCATGCAAGGTCCTCTGTTTGATTTCCGCAAGAAAACAAAAGACGCAAATAAATTTATTAAAACTCGTGAAACTGTCTTACTCAAATAACTGCCTTCATGACACTCTTATTAAACACATTATGTATGCTGACGACCATTAGTAAAACACGTAGCAAGATTGTTATCAATATGTGAAGCATATGTGAAGTTGTAGTCATAACATTTAGTACTAGTATGTGAGAAAATTGTCTTTGTCAAGTTTCACATTAAATGGTGAGGAAGTTTGAGATATTTAATTAACCAGGGTTTACTTGAAGTCAAATAGCCATGTATGACAATGGGCAGTTAGAATATACCATTTATAAATATTTCATTGGCTCTCCCAAATAAAAGCCAACCTGCTTATGAATCATGGCCTATTTAAGGGCTAGTAATTGTACTTAGGTTGTCTAATGCTATAATTGTTTTGTGAGACAATGTTTTCATTATATTAACCCGGTATTAATAAATAGTTATTATATTGTAAACTACATTTCTAAGCAATGGTTTGATTTAAAAAGTATTATGCTTGTGTTTTCACACTACCCAAATAAGAAGTTTATTACGATCTCCAAACAAAACTTTTAGATATTGAGATATCCTTGCCATATTGAACAATCCTAAAATGTTCTAAACATTCTCCATTCTCAATTGTGGCCAATTATTTCTGAACCGAGTACATTGACAGGCACTTCTTAAATCATAAAATGTTACATGCGTAAAATTGACATTTTCACTTTTGAAAGGGTTTTTACTCATGGCATACCATTTATAAAAGACTATACGATAAGCTAGAAACACCACACGGAAATCCTGTGAATATGCATTGCATCGTGCATTATTTTCTTCATTGGTAGATAAATACAGATTCATAAAAGTCTCAATAAATACTTGAAGGGATGGACTGCCTATTGTTATACAAGGTTGAATACAAAAACTATATTCAGGTCACGAAAAGAAAGGGCCACTGATATATTTGCGAAGGTAAAGGGTCACATGGGACATTTTTCGCAATGATTAATCACTAAACAATGTTCCTCCTACAGTAAATCAGGGGAAATGATCTTAAATTCAATTTATATTCCCCAAACAGCAGTGAGATTTCTCCTAAACAGCTGTTTATATATATATCATACCACAATGTGTTTAAGTTGTTCACTGTGTTATCCAACTTCTAACATATTACTATGCTGTGCAGTGTTGTCAGTCTGTTATTAGGAATATAGTATTCCACTTTATGCATATTCATCCCATATATCCGTTTCACATCTTCTGAAAGTTTATTTCGTTACTTGTGAGCGTTTATTCAAGAATAGTAGAGCGTCCTTGCTCATTTGCATAAACAATTGCCGTTCACGGACACCGTTTACCATTAGAGGTTTTACTCATTGCATACCATATATAAAAAATGATACAAGACACCAGATGCGCCACATAAAAACTCAACGAATATATATGCCTTATAAATATATTTTCTTGCCCAACCGTATAAATTAAGGTTGATAAATAGATTCATGAAAGTTTCAAGAAATACTTGAATGCATCGACTGATTATTGTTAAATACAAAGAGTTTATCATAGAAAAAAATATCACAGGAGAACTTCTTCACAATGAAGACTAAAAATCCAATGAATACCCCTGCAACATCAAATTGGCTGAACTTTAAACTAGTTAATTTTGTATAATGCTTCTCCTACAGTCAAACAAAGATATTAGATTCAATTCATGTTCCCAAAACTGTACGGACTGCGGAATAAGAGCTGAAGGACTGCCCACATTTTCTCATGTTGCCAAGAGGATAAAACAACAATTTCATGTGGCGATGCAAAGCACTAAACTTTATTGAGAGAGCAGCGATTTCGTCTGAAAGCGAAGCAAAACAATGGGGTTGAGAAAATACAGGTCAAGGTTATGTTTTATTTGATGCCTTGCTCGCAGGCATCACAATAATTTTATTCTGTTATTTGGTTCTATTGGAGTAGTTGAAAAGCATGAAATGATGTATGATGGTTTCAATCAATGTGTGTATGTGTCTATGGTTTAATTAGGTTGTCAAATTCTTTACATTGGTAAGTTTTACCGATATGTATTCCTATGTGTGTTTTCAGTTCTATTTGGGGAGTTCAATAACATTTTTACATTGGCAACTTGTAAGAACTGTTTTCAATAATAATGATTTTAATTGATAATGTAATAACTGCCTCATGTATGACTTGTATGTGTTTTAGGCCGAAAGACATGTTTTAGTGATTCAGTATACAATACAATATTTGCTGGGCATCCGCAAAACATTTGATAGTCACCTATGGGGATTTACATTTAGATTTGGCTTAAACAAATTATGTTATGATTTGTCACCAATGGCTAGATCAATTTCAAACGAATATTCATGCTTCGGAAATGATCATCTCACAGAAGGTTAGATTTATATCAGAATGTTACAATGACATATTACAATTTGCTACATGAATTGAAAACTACTGGCTAAGAAAATTAGTACATATTCATTATCATGGCTACTATTTTACCCTTGGAAGCCCAGATATAGTGTTAGTGACACTATGAATGGAATGTATGTGTAAGGCATAAATTAGGTCACATAAGTCACATATTAATTATTCAGACAAACGCTACCGTATTTGCTCTAATAGTAGTGCATGCACTTATGTAAACAACATATGTGTCTTGCAGGCTCTTGTGTACATGACAGAAGTGTGCCCTATAATTAGCAAATAATCATATTTTAAGGATCGTGTATGAACTATCGTATTTTCTTTACTAGTAGTTCAAACGCCAGAAAGGTGTGCTTTGGGCCAACATAGGTAATATTTCAATGATCCAGTGGACAACACTGCACTATTAATAGTGTATGCCTATTACCTTTCGTTTAAAATAAATTATATGTAACAATGACCTACAAGATATTTTTGCTAAGCATTCTTATAATTGATAATTAAATTAGTATTGGATTTTCCCTGGTGGTATTGGTCTATATGCTGTTCTTTGGGCCAACTCATTAATAGTTTGAATCAGATCTAAATTTGCTGATGAATAATTCTAAATGTAATCGTGTGTAGTAGTACTGTGTAGCACATGCTTATCTCTATACAGCTCTGCGAGCTGAGAAGAATAATTTTCTGTTTTGTCTTTGCTTCTAAGACCACATTCGGCCACCAAAACGTGGCAGCCAATGTCATTGAGAAGCTGCCATTGATAAGTGCGTCAACCTCTCTCAGTGAAGTAAGCCATCACTATGGCACACTCTTGAGATAAGCTCTTTATTCACAAATCGCCCTGCAAACGAACCAGTTTGTGATTTACAGTGTCATTTCAGTATCTCACTTTGCATCCACCACTCATTTCCACATCGGCCCTTCCTAATGGAATTTAATAACAATTATATATTTCATGGGAGTTTTACCGCTCATTCAGTATACTTTCATTTTTTGAACTATCACCCTTTCCCTCCCGTTCAATCAGTGTAAATTCATTTTCAAGTTGTGTGCCTGCTAAACTATTCTTGAAAGAAATCACAGAAACATTTAATGAACAGTAACTTTTTATTATGAAGCTTCATAATCATGCCTTAAGTGGGAAGACAATAGACTAAAGTTTTCGTTTAATTTCTACGGAATTAATATTTCATCCAATACCACATTCAACAGCAGTCAAAACAAACCTTTAAATCACATGTATGAAGATACTGAATCTTGTAGTTTTTTGGAGGATTTTGAAAAATATATAATATATAAAAAACTTTCGAAGAAATTACAGAAAATCGCACAAGAAATTGTTTAAAATCACTGGTGTTTAAAATTTACTGGTGTAAGTGAAAGTTCTATGTGGAATAAAACACCTAAACTATTGTAGCATATATTATAGGTTGAGTTACAATTGAGTCAAAATACAAGATTGTTCATGGAAACTTAACACATGAAGTCTTATGACTGTTAAAGAGTAAGTTATGTGTAATCGTACTTTAATAGTCGTCCAGATTATTATTAATGTACACAAAGGTTTTCTATGGTCTACTTGTACGTGATAAAAATCAAATACAATATTTATAATGTCAATACGTATAAATCAACACTCCCAATGCAATAAAGACTTTCTCTTCATCTTTATAAACATTTATAATTTCCAATAGCAGTTGAATTAAACACCTGATCAAAGGTCGATAGATCAGTTTGAATTATAAATATTTATTAAAATGGAGTGAATGCCGTTGTTGCGCTGAGATTTCACATCACAAAGAAATAATGTTCAGAGCCGCATTTATTTGTTCAATGACTAATCACATTGTAATGACTCCATGATAACTGGTTTCCGGATGACTTGATGCTTAATTGCTTGAAATTGAACCGTTTAAACGAGTTACCATTTTCTCCAAACCAGTATCACGTGTATGTATATGAACTTTGAGTCACTATTGGCGTATATCAACTATTTATCCTTCTTTGATCATATCTGCAAATCAAGTACTAGTATGCACTGAACGAATGTTTACACTACATGGCAGCTGAATTACCCTGATGTCATGGGAGGAGGTATAGCCAAAGACAACAGAGGACAGTCAACGGTACTGGCTGTCGATTGGCATCCTAGTAATGAGTAACTTTGTGCCAAGTCATGTGACGACGATTCTAATGTCGTTGATATATCAGTCATATCGGGCTGCTGCCCAAATGAAGGCATTGGTTGCCCCGGCAGCTGTTCTAATGATGGCATTGGTTGCCAGGGTTTAATGACATAAATTACCGTTGTTTGTACATCCGTTTTTGGTTCAGCATCTTCGTTGTCATCATTTGGAACTGCTGTTGTTGTTGTTGTTGTTGTTGTTGTTGTTGTTATCGAGCCTTTTTCACACACGCATTTATCTATTAAACATAAACTTGCACACACAATATTCACACATGTTATAATACAAAGAAAGGGAATGAGAATTCCTCCTACTACAATGTGATCCCATAAAAAGACGAAGAGGGGAGTGGTCATAACACTCGCACCAATTGTTGAAATGAATATATTACAACATTTTGAAAAATCGCTTCTACAACAATAACACTTTC